CTACGGGCTTCAGATCTGATGGCGACTAAGGACGATGGCGATTATAGGTGATGTTCTCAACCTACTGGCGACACGAACTTCCGACAAAGACACCAACGACATACTCACGATTCCAGTCACTCTCATACAAGGGCAACACACTTATTGTTTCCCACACCCATGAATTTATACCGCTTTAATGCCATGTTCAGATTCATGAGAGATAGGGAGAGAAAGAGAGATAAAGAGAAAAATGTATCCTTGTGTATATTGTCTATCTGCAGCCCTCTAAATAAGGCTTATATAAGAACAAGGGTTAGACACCCTAATTACATAATTACACAATAACCCTAACAACTATGGGTAATTACATAATGACCCAACACTATAAAGAATATACATTCTAACAATATTCTAGTATTACCCTTCTTTTATAGAAATATCATTTATGTCATTTTCTTATATAAAATTTTGAAGAAAATTGTATAATATCTTGATACAACTTAATATATATATATATATATATATATATATATATATATATATATATATATTCGCCAATATATATATATATATCATAGACTAAAAATTACATAAACTTACATTTAGTTCTTGAAATCGCTATTCCTAAAACAATATAAAATAGGGAAAAAAAAGTGAAAATAATTTAATAATTCATTAATTGTACACGAATACACTTCACGTAAAAAAAGTGCCACACTTTTTTGGCTTGTCTTCATTTTTTTTTATTTTTTATTACAATATGTTGAATTTAATTAACTTGTTAAATATTTTAAAATTTTTATTTTTTGGTGGCAATTAAAACTATGTGTTTTTTTCATTATTATTGTAAATTGATACTAATTACAAATTAGAGGTAAAGGGCATAGTTAGTAGTTTAATAAGGAAATAACATTAAAGGCATTCATAATAAAAGGCAATATTGGTGAAAAAAAAAAATATACATTTTTAATAGAATTATGAAGTTAGTTGAAAATATTTGTTAAAACCATAAAAGTAGGACTTTTTGGTCCTTATAAAACTGTTTTAGGAACTAAAAAGTAGGACAAACTAGTAAATTTTTTTCCTTGTTCAAACTAGTAATATTCCAAGATTTTTTTTTTTTTTTATAAGTAAGAAATATAAAAAAAGGCGTTCAAGAGGGGAACGCGTCCCTTATACAAAAGTGGAATCGGGGGCTAGGGCTCCAAAGAATCCAAAAAAATGATTAAATCATCGGAAGAGGAACAAGAACTCCTTTTCACATAATTGAAAAGAAAGCGAATAATGTATAGTTTCAGCGTCACCATAGACGACTCCTTCCCTTCAAACATTCTGCTATTTCTCTCCTTCTAAATGCACCACCAAACGCAATGTGGGACAGTTCTCCAGTAATCGCGTACGCTTCTTCTCACACAACATCCTCTCCAAGCATGAATCAAATCCTTAGAAAAACGTGGCATTACCCAACGCATGCCAAACAACCCAAGAATAAGATTCCAATAGTTGTGCGCCACGGAGTAATGCATGAGGATATGATCAACTGATTATCTTGCTTACATAGACATCACCAATTAACAAAACAATTCCCCCTTTTCCTCAAATTATCAATCGTCAGTATCTTACCCCAAATTTTAATTATTTGCAAAAAGTGAAGTAGAAAATTAAGGACTCTTGCCTAGAAAATTACCACATGACTGAGAATTTTGCCACAAAAAAGAAAAATACATGAAAATATTTATATCTATTTAAATAATTTTGGGGTTAATTACACAATACCCCACTAAACTAATTTTTTTTTTTTTTTTTTTTAGAAAAAAATAATAATAATAATCGCATATCACCTCCATATATTAAATTTTAGGGTAAAGTATAATGACACCCCTTGAGGTTTGGCATAAGGACAACTAGATACAAGTTGGTCTATTTTTGGACAATGATACCCCTTGTAAAAACCTGGATCCAAATAGCCCCTCAAAAATTATAAAAAGTCAATATTGTCCTTTAATATTTTATTAATTTAAATTATAAAATATCAAAACTTTTAATTGACGTTTTTACCCTTATACACTCATTACACCTATATATATATATATATATATATATATATATGCATATGTATATATGTATCTGTATATGTAGTATTATGTAAACCCCAAAGCACCATACACCTAGACAGGACCCCAAAGCTCCGGCCAGACGCGATGTCCACCTCCACACCTTCCAACTACCACCACCGCCTGACTTCTATTACCCACCACCACCTCCACCTTCCTATTATGCCCAAAATGAGCCACCACCACCTCCGCCTTCCTATTACGCCCTAAACGAACCCACCCACGTTACCACAGCTCCCATGTAGGAGGTGAATCGGATTACTATGCTTCGCCACCACCCCTGCGGTGGCGACCGAAGTCAGAGGAGTACAATTACTCCTATTTTCTCGATTACCCACCACCGCAAGCCCATTCGACGCTATCGGTGTCCCCAGAGTCAGCTTCAACGGCAATCACTGCTTCGCTCACTTCAGGGCTCTGTTGCGGCTCCCTCATCGTCGCGAAGAAAACTTCGTCGTCTTGAAGCCAAAGTCTCACATTGCCGTCGTCGTGGGTTAGATCAAGATCGGGCTCCAATTTCAATCGCCGCCATGGGTTAGATCAAGATCGGACTTCATTGACGTCGTTGCTGAAGATGGAGAGAATGAATCGAGCCGCTAGAGCACTCACTGCCGCCCTCACTGAACAACCATTGCCGCCACCACCGTTAACCCTAATGTGTGGTACTTTCAAAGGACTTGTGTACTCCAGCATTAGGTAAGCTCACCGAACTGGGTCTCTCTTCACCGGTCCATTTTTGGCAGCTCCGTCTTCCTTACTCATCACCGTGGTTCATTTGATGACGATGATGAATTGATGATGATGATGATGATGGGGTGGTGGTTGTGGTGGTTGAGGTGTGATGATGATGCGGCGGCGGCAACTGTATATGCAATAGGGATGATTTGTGCTGGTGATATATGTGTGTGTATGCGCATGTCTATATATATATATATATACACACACACAGAGAAAGTGAGGGAGTAGAAGCTTTGTTATCATCAGGCTTTTTCCTTCTAATTGATTTTTCGTTTCACTCTGTTATACTTGTTTGGGTTAGGGTTTGAGAGGGGAAAGAGAAGAAGAGAGTGAGGAGAGAGAAAATTTGGGTGTCTTAGATGGATTGTACTCGGTAACCCATTTACCTATTTGATTCAAGGGTATTTAAGTCAATTTATTTGTCAATTTTATATCAAAGGGTAATAAAGTCAATTCACCATTGTCAGGGTGTCTTTGCCAATTTTATCAAACTTGAGGGGTGTTATTGACAAAAAATAGACCAACTTGTATCTGGCTGTCCTTATCAAATCTCAAGGGTTGTCATTGTACTTTACCCTAAATTTTAGTATACGAACACCCTAAAGTTATAAAAAATTTAGCAAGACACCACTTTTCTTCAAGTTACCATCTCTTTCCTTCAAGTTACCATTAAAAATAAACGATCAAGCCATTGGGAATTTTTGTAAATCCCAAAATACCCTTTCTATTAATTGCATGAAACACCCTGCACAGTTGCACTGTAAGAAATCTACACATTCCCCCCAGAAAACAGTTAGAAGTTTGCATATTACCCCTTGTCTGGGGAGCGGTGAGTGGTAGTGACTAGCAGTGAGATTTAAGTTCAAAATCTTTTTCTTTATTTTTCTTTTTATTTTTATAAGTAATATTTCATTGAAAAGCGCTTTAAATGGGAGCGCATCTTAGATACAAATGCACAAATCAGGAGCCTCTATTCTCAAACTATCCACAAAAGACTATAGAATCTCCATAGATATACAGTTACTCCCATGAACTTTAAAAAAATTAAGATCTAAGCACAAAGATTCAAATTCGAGAACTTACCTTCTTTGATGCCACATATAAAACTTTAATTCCATGGATATTGATATTGGCTTGTAGACTGCCAATTTGAAACTGGTTTATTGGGAAACACATTGAAAATATATGAAAACAATTGAAATGGAAACAACTCCAGAGAAGGAAATCATAATAATCATTAATTTAAATATGTGAGTTCCCCATTTACCTGAGTCATTTCCAAATTCTATTCATGCACTTCCTCAGTTCCTTGATGTCATCCTTCCTTTATTTATCTTTCCATAATCATTATGTTGACTTTCCTATCTTAACATGTCTTTACATCGGCAAGCATAAACTAATAGAGTAAAAGTTGAATGAGTATTAAGAGAAGAGAACGAAAAGCTCTTACTAGTCAATGTTTTCATGTGGTTAGATGTCCCTGAATGCTATTGATAACTCAATTTAGCACTTATTCAATTAAGTGCATTTGATAACGCAATTTGAATATCACTGAAAACGGCAATTGCTACTTAATATGGATAAAATTTTAGTGACAGTAACATCACTTATCACTGAAGGTTGAACACTTAAAATTCAAAAAGATATCAAAAAATATTTATTTTTTAATTACCACTTAAAAAATTCAGCACTTAAAATTCGGCTCTTAAAATTTCCAATACTTAAATTTCAGTTTTATCGAACAACACCTAAGATGAAATCTTTGAAGATGCTGAAAACAAGAAACAATACTGTGGGAGGACCAAGAAATGATGTGCCAGATGCAATAATCTGGTAATGGATCAGATTACTTTGATACCATTTACAGGAATCGGATATAATGAATAGGGTGGCAAGGCGAAGAAAACGTAGGAGACAAGTGCATAGACAATTGGCTCAGCAATGATGTTTAAGATCGGTTGGTCAATGACCAAATTTATTCTACTCCTATTGCTGTTTACATCATCTAATTTTCATGAATGCCATCTTTTACATGCTTATTTCATCACTCTGCTGGAGTTGATCTTATTTCCATCATTTCTCTTTGGGTTTAAAAAAAATTTTCCAGAATCTTTTCTTAGTGTCAGTTTTACCAGCACCATGGTTACTAATTGCATGAAAATTTAGGAAACAACGATTTGTATATGGAACTATACTGGACAGCATATCAAAAGTCACTGGGATTATCAAATTTGATTTGCATGCCGAACCAGATATCGGAAGAACAAAACTTGAAGTTGGAGGAAATGTTCAAGGAATCATTGACCTGGGAGCTGGTAGATTTGGTTCAGAAGCTATCTTTGTCCCTCGTAAGCCCGGAATTACTTCTGAAGAAGATGATGGTTACTTGATATTCTTTGCACATGATGAGAACACAGGGTATGTCTTCGTTTCTAACACTATAAGTAAAGACCGTAATTATTTATTTCTTCATTCTTTATATCACAATTACTATTGTGAAATGTAGAGTGCATTGAGTATGCTGCCTAAAAAACCTTAAATTCCAATGGTAGAATTTGTACCAATCCCAATCTGTTAGAACAACATTATGACAAAATGATGTTGATTCAGTTGTTTTTGGACTAGATTTAGAGGTGCACTCTACTGTTTGCGAGGTTGAAAAATAAATTTAATATCATCTCATTTTATCTCAGATGCTAACAATTGCTTCCTTGAAGTTGTCTGTTGTTAGATGCAATTAATACCTTGACAACAGTGTCACTGGTACAGAAGCTGTAGCACATAATTGGACAATAGTTCCCTCACTTTTTTTGTGAGCAGTCTTGTAATGTTTTCTAATATGGATCAGTCTCATGAGAGCTTTCACCATGAGCTCGTGCCCTTGACTGTTAGATTGGGAGGATAACCTTATCAGCCTCTTGTCCAACGGTTGAGTCTGCAAGCTCACATTGAGAAAATTGCAAATTGCCCCGCATTGTATTTTACATCAAATAGCTGAGATAACTGCTAAGTCACCTCACAACTCAATTTTGAAATTTAATCACCTTGATGATGTAAATCCAATCTGAGCTTTATTTTCTTTTTTTACTTGTGCAGAAAATCAGCAGTGAATGTAATTGATGCAAAAACAATGTCGGCTGATCCTGTAGCTGTTGTTGAATTACCCCATAGAGTTCCTCATGGATTTCATTCCTTCTTTGTGACAGAGGTCAGCTATTTGACTTTCTTTGTAATATTTGTTTTTATTTTAAACGTCTTCTTTTTTCATTCACAAGAGAGAGAGAGAGAGAGAGAGAGAGAGAACCTTTGAAAAGTTAAAAGTGGAACTAGGAAGAAATTATTACACCAAATTTGCACAACAGATGGAAGGAGTTCTTTTGAGATGCCATGTCATAGAAGTTGGATTCACTAACTAGCACCTTTACTGCCCAAACTTTTGGAGGATAGTAGTTTTTAAAAGAGGTGAACAACTGGGTTTCACATAGATGCAAACTAATTACGTGAACCAATTGTCTCATGAACTGGAAGGTCATTTTATAAATGGTCTTTTGAGGTTGGAGTGCCAGTGTTGTGATGTTGAAGATGTCTTATAACTTCACCTAGATTTATTATTATTATTTTCCTTACTAAGTACGTTTCATCCAAATACAGCTCCTGAGCTCCTCAAAAGAAAAGAATAAATAAGTAGGTAAGCTTTATTGTCACTATTGTGAAGATAGAGTTATTAACTCGGGGTGCGGAAGCTATTAGTTGATTTTAATTGTGTTAACTCTTTTAATGACCTAGATCTGATTATTAAGTCAACTTGCTCAATTTATGATTGATTAAATTATATGATAAATTTAAACATCCACAATCACAAATATATGTAAAGTAAAGCAAGTTAGAGTTAGAGAGATTGCACCAGGATTTTTAGCGAGGAAATCCTAGTTGATAAAATACATCAACTGTTTGAATGGGAAAAACCTCGTAGACTGTTCAGTTCAAAGTAAACTGATCCATTATGTTTGAAACAAAGTACATTGAACTTTGACTCTGGCTCACACCCTATCGTTCTACCAAACACCAATTGCTGACAATTCTTTGGCTTTGCAACGTCCGGTCCAACAGTAACTTGACCTCAGGTAGATCAGATAACACTCCTCGGATGCTCCAACCCTTTCAAAGTGTGATCGTTTTTACTTTTATTCTTCAAAATCTGAACTTGATGTAGAAGAATTAAATCATGTTTTTCATTCGGAATATCTGAATCTTCAATATAGCTCCAATTCCGATGAGATAGAGAACACCACTACTAAATCACTCATGAATATATGTGTGTGCTCTCAAAAATTCATTCAGAATAATCATATTTGATTTTCTGAATTTTCTCTCTAAAAGGCTTTCTCACAATATAGAATTGATATTTCTTAAAGCTATGAATAAACCTAGAAGACTAACAAGGTTTATATAGAGTTTAGAAAGTCCTAATCCCTCAGAAAATATGAAAAATTTCGTGTGTAGGACTTGGAAAGAAGTTGGGATAAAGAAGGAAACATTCAGGAAGAAGGTAACTGAAGTTAGAATGCTACCAGGAGACCTTGAACCGGTTCAGAGGGGCTGAACCGGTTCAAGAAGGCCAGAAAGTTTCTGACGTTGCCAACTTTAGTTCTTGAACGGTTCAGCCCCCTTGAACCGGTTCAAGATGGACAGTTTTGAAATTCTGCAGAAGTCGAACCAGTTCAGCCCTATTGAACCAGTTCAAGATGGCCAGAATGTATAATCTCCTTCCGAACCTTCCAAAACCCTTCCTCACTACTCCTCAAAACTTCTTAAAGCATTGTTCTCATCATCTCGGAGTGTAGTATATCATGAACACTTGAACTTCTTCAAATCCGCATCCGATCTTCAATCTTCGAAATTTTGAACCGAAAAATTACAACTCGATCGGACTTGTTTCGACAATGAAATTAGCCAGTTATAAAATATATATCTCACAATCTCCCCCTTTGGCAATTTCGTGACAAAACCCTAAAAACAATTCAGCAATCTACCCAAGCAGAAAAGTAAATTACAATGATTGTTAAAGGAAATAAACCCGCGGAAATTTTCTTGAACCTCAAGAAACTTCAACACTTGTAGCAACCTATAATCTGCACATTAGCTCAAACACAACTACACGTGAAGCTTAATTAAGAAAATAAACACAAGCATAAAATTGCAATTAAAGCTAAGAATGCCTGAATATCAATGCAATGTAAAAATGCAATGATCAATGGTTCTCCCCCTCAATGCAAAAAGTAAGTTTCTCTCACCCTAAATGATAAGACTCTAAACTCTCTCCCCCTTTTTGTCACAAATGAACAAGAGTCTTAAGGAAGAAAAATCATAGAAATAAAAAGCAGTCAGCCATATAAATCTTGTAAATTTAAACCAATGAGAATGTAGACAACACAAGACTATATGTATCAATAGAAATAACCAAGATCAATTCATTTAAGTTCCACAAACTTAGTAAGTGTAGTAAAATCACTACCAAGTTCAAAAAACATATGATCTGTCAATTGTTCAAATTTCAGATAATAAATCAATGATATCACATATCCTTAGAAATCAAACAATCTACCTGTGCAAAAGACATTTTTTTTTTCTCTCTCTTTATGCTTCATTTTTCTTTTTGCACATTGGTGGCTTTCACGCTTATTGGTAGTCGGGTCTTTCCCTTATTCCCGTTTGTTTCGAGTCAAGGTAGCTTTCGGACAAATCCTAAAGGTAGCCTTTTCCATCTCACCTTTTTCAAAACAGCAAATATTTTTTATTCTTTTTCAAACACTTTTAATTCCAAGCTATTTTTCAATTTTCTTTTCACTTCACTTTTTTGGTTTAAAACATATAAATCAAGTTTAAATTCCAAGACAATGATCAATCATGTCAACATTATCTTTGACCAAAACAATAATATCTCAAATAAATGTGCTATCAATGATTCATTTACTATACGAAATAAGTAAGCAAAACCAATTTCGTCAATTCATAGCCATTGTATATTTTCCACAAATAATCCACGTGTCATTAAACTCCTTGTGTTCAATATACTTAAATCAATATGGTTTGCTTAACTTCCCAAAAACACAATCTAGACACTTAAGATATGCATGAAAATCCTTTCTAGACTATGTCCTTGCAATGCATCTAATTAAGACAACAGACATTAATAGATTTCCTAAAATGAGAAAACTTAGGAGCATTTAATGGTTTAGTGAGAATATCAGCCAAATTCTGATCAGTATGCACTTTTTCTAAAGACACAACATTTTGTTCAGCAAGTTCCCTAAGAAAGTGATGTCGAATGTCAATGTGCCTAGCCCTAGAATGCAAAACTGGATTCTTTGAAATATTAATTGTACTAGTATTATTACAAAAGATAGCAAAAGTACCTTGATCAACTCCATAATCCATAAGCATTTGTTTCATCCAAAGCAATTGTGTGCAACAATTTCTAGCAGCAATGTATTCAGCTTCACAAAATGATAAAGATATGCAAATTTGCTTCTTGTTGTACCATGAAACAAGGTTAGTACCAACATAGAAACAACCACCTGAAGTACTCTTTCTATCATCCTTGTTACCAGCCCAGTCAGCATCAGTATAGCCTGCAATCTCAAAGTTAGATTCAGAATAATAACGCAATCCATAATTCAATATACTATTGACATAACGAATAATGCGTTTGACTACAAGAATGTGTTGTTCTCTAGGATCAGCTTGATACCTAGCACAAACACCTACACTAACTGAAATATCTGGCCTAGTTGCTGCCAAATACAACAAGCTACCAATCATACTCCTATACAAGAAATGATCAACCTTGTTAGGATCAGAGTCTCTATCCAATTTGGATGAAGTACTTATAGGAGTTTGCACATGCTTTGAATCTTTCATACCAAATTTCTTTACTAACTCATTTGCATATTTTGATTAAGATATGAAAATCCCATCATCAAGTTGTTTCACTTGGAGACCAAGAAAGAAAGTCAATTCACCAATCACGCTCATTTCAAAAGTATTACTCATATCCTTAACAAAATTATGAACAAGGTTATCACATGTGCCACCAAAAACAATATCATCCACATATATTTGAGCAACAAGAAAATCTTTTCCTTTCCTGAAAATGAACAACGTTTTATCAGCTACTCCTCTTCTGAACCCCTTGTGCATTAGATAAGAAGTTAACTTCTCATTACAAATTTGACTAATACTCAACAGATTAGCAGCTAAACCTTTAATATATAGAACATTCTTTGACTCCCCAATTCCTGAAAATTTGATCTTACATTTATCACTTACAGTAGAAGCATTACCATCACCAAAAGTAACAGTACCAACTGAGCATTCCTTAAAAGTGGTAAACAATGTTCTATCCCCTGTCATATGACTAGAGCAACCACTATCAAAGTACCAACCACATGGACCAAGTGCTCTAGTGCAGTGTGCATGGCAAGGCATTTAAAAATCTCTTTCTTTACCCGAACAATTTTAGATTCATTATGCAATGATTTTCTTATTGTTCTCAGCAAAGTGTCACATGTCTCAATCGTCCTAATCCTCTTTTTCTTCAAATTTGAACTTTCTAAACTTTTCAATTTCTTTCCTAGTTCAATTTTTCTTTTCTGACACTTATACTTGATATGCCCTTTTTCACCACAAAAATGACGTGTTGAAATAAGTTTGGGAGAACTATAGATGACACAAGGTTTTGTTTCAACTTTTACAAAAATATCTTTTGATTTTTTAAAATTCAAATATTTTGAAGTTAAAGCCAATTCTTTGTTATGACTAAAATTCTCAACCACTCCTTTCAACTTATCAATTTTGTAAGTGTCAATATTAACTTTCTGAAAAGACTGTTTTGATTTAACAAATTCACTACTCAAATTATCAATTTTAAGTTCCAGTGATTTATTAAACAAATTTACCTTCTTAAGTTCCTTTTCCAGAAATCAATCTTATGAAGAAGATTCAAATTTTTATGGCCAATTTTTACCAAATTCTTATTAGAGACAGAAACTTCTAACTTATAAATATCTATATCAAGTTCCACAAGATTTAATTTCTCTAACAAATTTTCAAAATCCTTTTTAAACTTGGACCACTTAATTTGCATGTTTGTGACAGAATAAAAAACATGAGTTAAAGGCAACACATCAACAATAGATAAATTTTCAGACATGATTCAAAAATCAATAGTAAATCAACAAATATGATCTACTCTATATATCGAGTATTCCGCTCTGATACCAATTGTGAAAATAGAGTTAACGCAGGGTGCAGAAGCTATTCGTTGATTTTAATTGTGATTAACTCATTTAATGACCTAGATCTGATTATTAGGTCAACTTACTCAATTTATGATTGATTAAATTATATGATCAATTTAAACATCCACAATCACAAATATATGTAAAGTAAAGCAAGTTAGAGTTAGAGAGATTGCACCAGGATTTTTAGCGAGGAAACCCCAGTTGATAAAATACATCAACTGTTTGCATGGAAAAACCTCGTGGACTGTTCAGTCCAAAGTAAACCGAGCCACTATGTTTGAAACAAAGTACACTGAACTTTGACTCTGGTTCACCCCTATCGTTCTACCAAAACACCAATTGCTAACAATCATCTGGCTTTACGACGTCCCGTCCAACAGCAACTTGACCTCAGGCTTATGCTTGATATCTGTAGAAGAGTAGCAAGTAGATCAGATAACACTCCTCGAATGCTCCAACCCTTTCAAAGTGTGATCGCTTTTACTTCTGTTCTTCAAGATTTGAACTCGATGTAGAAGAATTAAATCCTGCTTTTCATTTGGAATATCTGAATCTTCAATATAGCTCCAATTCTGATGGGATAGAGAACAACACTACTAAATCACTCATGAATATATGTGTGTGCTCTCAAAAATTCATTCAGAATAATTAGATTTGATTTTCTGAATTTTCTCTCTCTAAAAGGCTTTCTCAAAATATAAAATTGATATTCCTTAAAGTCATGAATAAACCTAGAAGACTAACAAGATTTATATAGAGTTTAGAAAGTCTTAATCCCTCAGAAAATATGAAAAATTCCGTGCATAGGACTTGGAAAGAAGTTGGGATAAAAAAGGAAACATTCAGGAAGAAGAAAACTGAAGTTAGAATGCTAGTAGGAGACCTTGAACCGGTTCAGAGGGGTTGAACCGGTTCAAGAAGGCCAGAAAGTTTCCGACGTTGCTAACTTTGGTTCTTGAACCGGTTCAGCCCCCTTGAAACGGTTCAAGATGGACGTTTTGAAATTCTGCAGAAGTTAAACCAGTTTGGCCCTGTCGAACCAATTCAAGATAGCCAAAATATATAATCTCCTTCCAAACCTTCCAAAACCCTTCCTCACTATTCCTCAAAACTTCTTAAAGCATTGTTTTCATCATCTCGGAGTGTAGTATATCATAAACACTTGAACTTCTTCAAATCCGCATCCGATCTTCAATCTTCGAAATTTTGAACCGAAAAATTATAACTTAATCAGACTTGTTTTGACAATGAAATTAGCCAATTATAAAATATATATCTCACAGCTATCAAAATTAAGACATTGAAAAATTCAATTCGGACGTGGACACTTATTTTGGGAGCATCTTTAAAAATAATGATGGCCTCTTTTTTTCTCTTTTTTAACGACAACAAGGAGTGATGCTATAAGAGAATAAGAATAGGATCGTTTCAATCGTTTTCCTTTCTATCTAAGATTCCATAATGTTTTTCTGTTCATTTTTTTATGGGAGAGCCGTTGAGCAAGGAAAACTCATAAATGGTTGGTGTCCTAAAATTTTTACAGAATACAAATGTGTCTCATCCGTCTCCACTTCTGGTCAACTATTTGATTTGACAATTTGAGTCTGAAGTGAAAACAAATTCCGCAACACAAGTCAATAAACTGTATTTGGTCGTACAAATTGGTGGATTTAGGAAATGGTCCTCAAATCCCCAGCTACTCTAGATTCCTTAAAAGTAAATGGATAGTTTGTACTAAAAAAATTTCTTGTTGCTTGTCAATGTAGAATGATGCACCATTCAGTAGAAAATTCTTCAAATAGTATATTTCTCTCCATTATTAGCTTAGGACTATAAACTGAAAATCAGGGTAAAATGTGAAAACTCAAAGATTCTTAGATCAAAGATGAAAGGAAATGTTTTATTCTATGATAATTGAGAAATTTTCTTAGAAAATTGGGGGGAGCACATGAATATGTTGAATATAGTGCATAAATCTTATGGTTGTATAGTTTCACAATCACCATCATAACAATAAGCAGCTTCTTCCAACAGTGTTAAGGTTGCCTTTATCCGTTCATGGAATCGGTCGTTCTAGTATGAGTTAAACCTGCTATCTTAGAAATTTACCTACCCTATTTTATGGTGATTCTATCTTCGTCTGCTTTGTTTTGCTTTAGTTTGTTTTATACTTATAATTTGGGTTTATGATGTTTTAAACAGGAACAACTTGAAGAACAAGCAAAACTCTGAAGGTTCGGAACCTCTTGATCGCTTGAAATATACTCCCATAGGTGAAACGCCAGAGCTATGTAAAAATATACACTTGTTGCTCCAATAAACTCTGCAGATTGTATCCGCAGCTCAGTCTAGTGAACAGATTGTACATGTAGTATGAGTGGCTTTAACAATTGTGAAGATGATGACATTTTACAAAACTTAAATTACTGTACAAATGGCAGTATCCCAATGATAGGTCCATTTTTTCTTGAATTGTAAGAGCATTTAATATGTTTCTAATGCCTTAACCTTCATTATTGATACGAATAGTCATCTTCTTCTAATGCTTGTCACTCTCTTGTTACCAGTGTCATTTTTCCAATTCATCCAGATCCCTTCTCGTACGTTTTTTGGTGCTATAATGCATTCAACAACATAGTTGACAAAATGTTTTGAGGCTTGATTTATTGTGTTGATCTTAAAATAATTTTTTGATGTCACGAGTTATGTACCTTAGAGGATCAAGCCTCGAAATATTGTGTTGATGTTGGCACATTGTGTTAACCGTTAATAACAGAAATTCGAGAGTCCAACACATTAAATCAAACCTTGAAATAACATGTTGACTCTCAAAATGAGTTGTTGAGTGGGCCATGTTGTGTACAACGGAGGATCTGAATTCTTATACAATAGGCAGCCCAGCCATCGTGTACTTCTTTTTCGTCAGGTGATGTAGTGAATGATTTATGTGAACACAACGGTAACTTTAGATTCACGGGACTTGATACAACAGGAAAAGAAGACTCCTTAACGACAAGATTTGCAATACCAAACTCAGAAGGCAGTAGAAGCTTATTAGATGATAAAAACACAAACCCTTTGTGAGTGAAGTTGAAATATGAAAATGACCTTAGTTGCATGGTCAACACTAACAAATTAACTACTTTTTCATAAAACTGAATGCATATGTTCTTTTTTCTATTTTCAGCAATTAGAACTTCATGGTACAATAACTTGTATTCTAAGGGAAGAGTCCAGCAGGGCTTGATCCCAGTTTTGGCATTGAAGAAGGGTGGACTTGAAGTAATCCTTGTGATGTCCCCTTGAGAGAATGCACAAACTCAAATTACCAAATATCAATTAATCAACACCAAATGACCAAAAACATAAAGAGCCCCCATCTCTTCATCTACTGAATTAAGAGAGCACATCAAGCTGCAACAACTAAAGAAAGCGGTACCAGTAACCAAAGCGGTAAGAGTAATGATACAAAGACCGAATCGCAATACCAATCAATAGAATCCAACAAGGACTTGTTGGGGCACAGCGGAAGCAAAAGAAAGAAAGAAAAACAACAATTCAAATCACAATACAAGATATATACGTGGTTCACCCAAAATTAGGGTTACATCCACGGATGAGAAGAGATTTACTAAATATGTAGAGATATTACAATAGTAGAGAATTTCAACACCGGACCACGCCCACAAACTCTTGACCAAGTTTTCCGTGTACTCCACGAGACTCCCTATCGCCATCAGTGTTCACTCTACCAAACTCGTAACTCACCCCTACCATCAACGTACTCCCTCATGAGGCTACATCTCTCTCAACTCATAACTCTCAACAATAGCCTAATTGTCTATTTATAAAGTCACATACCCAATTCCTTTGTGGACAAGGATTACAATTTTTTAGAGCCCAATTTATGTCTCTATAAGAAATTACCATAAAAAATACACTAAAATATAAACTAATAATAATGGGAATTTGAGACATAATTCCTAACAATCTCCACCTTGGCTCAAATTCCATTACGTCAATCATCGCTTCTCATGGCAATTAAATCTGGACAATTCTCTGCGACTTCAATCTTCTCGATTTTGTTGCAGAAGTCAGATTAACCCCACTATATGTTGCTCATTCAGTCAAAACCCCAAGGCTCCACCTTGACTACTCAAGCTCCATGCCATATAACCAAGCCGATTGACTCCACCTACAACTGAAGCCCGTTGTAGCACATGTTGAGACTTCTTGTGTTTTCTGGATCTCCTTCACCTTTGGCTCTGATACCAGTTGTTGGGGCATAGCAGAAGCAAAAGAAAGAAAGAAAAACAACAATTCAAACCACAACACAAAATATATATGTGGTTCACCCAAAATTAGGGTTACATCCATGGATGAAAAGAGATTCGCTATATATGTAGAGATATTACAATAGTAGAGAATTTCAACATCAGACCACGCATACAAACTCTTGACCGAGTTCTCCGTGTACTCTATGAAACTCCCTCTCGCCATCAATGTTCACTCTACCAAACTCGAACTCACCTCTACCATCAACGTACTCCCTCATGAGGCTGCATCTCTCTCAACTCATAACTCTCAATAATAGCCTAAGTGTCTATTTATAGAGTCATATACCCAATTCCTTTGTGGACAAGAATTACAATTTTTTTACAGCCCAATTCACGTCTTTATAATAAATTACCATAAAAAATACACTCTAAAATAGAAACTAATAATAATGGGAATTTGAGACATAATTCCTAACAGGACTCTAGTGTTAGTGAATTATAAGAATAGACTCGTTTCTCCTATTATGTCTATATATATAGCTAACACATCAGTCGGTTTTGTTGCCGTTGGCAATTATATCGTTTTTCAATCTGTAAATGAAAGAAACTACAATTCAGTTTGAGATATTATGGAAAACATTAGACTAGTATTCTGTTGCAAAAAAATATATGCTTCATGTGACATTTAAGATATAACAACCCTTATACTAATATGCTATGAGATAATTAACAATATGTTAAGAAATTATTAATTAAATATGCAACTATATATTTAATTAAATATGCAAAATAAAGTAATAAATTAATAAATAATAAATAAATAATTTGGACCGAGGCTAGTATTGAATACTATGTCCTTAAGACAATTTACACCCCACATGGTGCTAAAGGACTATATGGCGTTTGTCTCTTAGGATACAATAGTTTACATCCATCAATAGCAGCACTTCAAACTAGTGGACACGGCAAACCTCCTCCGTGTAATACTCTTTCTGACTAAAAAATGCATCAATACTATATAAATAATGAATTGAGAGTGAAATCCGAACCAAATGGCTCGGACCAAATTTAATATGGCTCAATGAAATTGGTTTTGGGCCTAAGTAGCTCAAACCACTTAGACCATGGCTTGAACCCACACCCACTTGGGTTGGGTTCATCTTGAGAGAGGGAGAGAATAATGAATTGCACTTTTTTTTTAAGTATAAATTTCTAATAGGGGATTATAGGTATTTATAGAGTAAATAGTGCCTATTGGGAATGGCTGTGTTCCTTTAATTGCAACATTTCTTATTGGTTCAATCCATTCACTTAACACCTATTACAAACCAACGCATGCTGTAGTTATTAACCGTTGACTCATTACCAATCACCAACTAACGAATGAGTTTGTTCTGAATACCTCTCTGTAGCCAAACTCACAAGGGTGAACATAGTTCAACATTCTCAATCACGTTATCCTTGCTTTATAATCAATTATAACCATGTTAAGGATACGTTAAAGGATCGGCAGTGAATACAACCTTTATTTAATATATTTACATTGCAATGACTAACATTTACGTTGTAATTTAACGTGATACACAGATAACCAAAGCCATACATACGTGTAGGCAAGTATTATTCACATATTCCAACATATTCATTTTTGGTTGAGTCAAGTCTATAACTTCATATCATAAATCAGCCCCAAAGGTAAGCATCAACTTGATGAAGTCAACAAGAGTAAGTTTTCCCTTGACCATGCAATCCATACATCATAGATGATCTTATCACTACAAAGGCTACACCATTGAACATTCTAATAGCATGAGTTCATGAAATTTGAACAACCGAATGTTAGAAATATAAATGGCTTACAAAAATAACTCATCAGACAAAACACCCTATAAGAACATTAAGAAAGGAACAAAATACAAAAACAACTAATAAACATACAGAGTCTTTTACAAATATGCTTATATACAAATCAACAATTACGAGGCCTTTTCCCAACTACTTAATTATTTATAAACAGAAGATTAAAATAAAACAAAATCAATCTGGTACTAGGCCATGTCTTCCGAAGGGGGTTAATCATTATTTATGATACTCCTTGTGATGTGAAAAGTTGAATCTTAATAGGCAAATTATTGTTGGAGTATGTATTAATGTTTCTAACAAGTGGTATCCGAGCCATGGTTCCCAAATTTGATGCATGAAATTGTTGGAAACGGGAGCATTAAAAACATAAACTTTGGATGAAATTTGGAATAGATTCCGCTAATAATTTTTTGCGGATCTCTAGACGAGCGCATTTCTCTCCATAAGGAGATGAACGTGGTATATTTACTTTCTCAAATCCGTTTCGGGGTGAATGAGAAATTAGCTCCAAAGTGGTGTTTTGATAAGCTTAAATGGATATGCAAAATGTGAGAAGTGTTTGTCCCACATGAAAAAAATGTTGAAACAAATTAAAATTTAACTAAGCTGAGTTTATGATTTGGGTTTGGGCTTGGGCCTAATTGTAAAGTCCAGATTATTCTTTTTTAGAATTTTGGATTGGGCCTAATTTTGGGCTGGGCTTATTTAAATGGGTTTCACAAATGGGTGGGTTTTTTTTTTTTTTTTTTTTTTTGTGGTTGTTTTTTGAATTAAAAAACTATTTTTTAGTTTTTCTAAAAGGTTATACTTTTTAAATTAAAAAAACCATATTTTAGTTTTTCTAAAAGGTTACACTTTTTAAATTAAAAAAATCATATTTTAGTTTTTCTAAAGGGTTATACCTTTTAAATTAAAAAACCACTTTTTAGTTTTTTTTTTTTTTAAAGGGTTACACCTTTTTTCGAACCATCATAACCTATGGTTGCACCCACTCGAAAAGGCACATTGCAACCTATTGGAATGGATGTGTCTATTGGTGAACAGACACCATGTGAACCATTACAACCAATTGGAATAGATGTGTCTAGTGGTGAACAGACACCATGTGAATATTGCAACCTATTGCAATGGTTGTGTCCAATAATGAAAAGATACACCCAATCCGAAAAGGCATTTCTATTTCTATAAATACCCCCATTTGGATCATTTGCAAGTGGTTCAATTTTCATTTTCTTCTTTCTCCCTCTCTAGACTTGAACCCAACCCAAGTGGGTTCAAACCATATGTTAAGTGGTCTGAACCACTTAGACCCTAATCCAATTTTATCGAGCCATATTAAGATTAGTCTGAACCATTTGGTTCGGATTGCACCAAATTCAGTATTTATATAGTATAGATACATTTTTGAGTCAGAGAGAGTATTACACGGAGA